GCAAGTTAAAAGGAAACAAGTATCAGGACAGTTTGAAATACAACTGTTTATCCCGATGCTTTATTTTGAATTGTCAAAGTGTTAAAACGGGAATGTCTCCAGCATGAAATAAAAGCCTCCTACATTTAAAGGCAAGACGGGTAATGCTGCAGCTGACAMTAAACCATTTATTGTAATGGAAGTGTTACGACATGGAAACTCAGACCAGAAGTTAATTCTTTTGAGGATTTAATATCTCTTTTACTCCCTAGATGTTTCAAATTTTACCAATCTCCAAGATCAGGAGTTTTGTAACACCACAAATAGGACAAAGTCTCAGATGAGACCCAAGGAGCTGTATGCAGAGCATGAAGAAGAGCAGAGGCAGACAAAAGCCTACCAAGGGCAATGAAGCAACATTAAAAGTACCAGAAATAGAGAACTCACCAGTGCTGCAAAAATCAGGATAAAATATTTGTAAAACCTTTATGCTTAAACATGTAAAACTTAAGTTAGCAAAACTAACATTGTGTTTGCAAGAAGCAGAACCATGAGGTTTCTTTAAAGCAAGCCTGAAGGGCAGCATACAGCAACTTTAAATACAATCACTTATAAAAAAAGGGAACTATATACATGCAAAACGTCAAAACTGCAGGAGAAATTTTTCCAAAGGGACAATGCCAAGTTCTTTCCAATAACACAGAGAACTCTGTACTTTGCTAGATAGCAGAGTGCTGTTTTAATACTCTTCTCTGAAGAGATCACAACTGCAGGTAGGTACGCTTTCTCTTCTCTAATATATTTAAATTTAGTTGATTTATTTCCTTTCCTGTATGCCAAGATTACGGATGTTGGAGAAATATGTTAAGTGGCTTGTGCTTCTCTGCTGGTTAGAAAACAAAGAGGTCCAGTCCTGCACAAATTAACAAAAGAATTTATTTGGCAATGTCCCTTTAGATAAAGTATTGGAGGCCACAGAGCACAGGCGGTTTGGTTAGAGGTGATGGCTAATTTGGTGTTATGTAGGGGAAGGTCCCCTCCACACAACCACAGGAGAAAATAAACACACTTATGGAAGCATCTTACATAAACTCCTGCCCCAGTGACTGTTCCTCCTACAATTAAGTACAACAGTAGGTTGCTGCCAGCTTTCCCAGGAGCACCCGAAGACGTTAGTGATCTAGAAGGGGATCTGAGATGATGACGCTGCAGAACTGTAGGTGAAGACAGGCAATGAGAGAGAAGAGGGAAAGAGGATTGAATGCTCTCAAAGACATGTAATTATCAGATCCCGGGAAAAGCAGAGTGCATTTTCAGTTACCTTGTTTGTCAAAAATAACACACAAACAAAACCCCACCAGTGCTACAAGCAGAAGCAAACACACTTCTGTCTGAGGACTTGGACTGGGAAGGCCTCTCACTGTTTAAGCCATCTTTTGTATTCAGAATAAAAGGTCTGGCTCAGATGTGGCATTTGCTTTCCAGCGTGGAGTGCAGGAAGAGGTGGGAACATGAGCTCTCACAAAAGATCCAATTTCCTAAGTAACGTTTTCATTATAACTAATAACACAAGATTTTGCTTTTATACTTAGCCTTTCAGCAGCTAAGGAGTGAAGTTAAAAACAGTCTTTCAGCCACAGGGCCCATATGCCCATGRTTTCTGGCCCTTTCCTTGTATGTTTTAGCCCAGCCACCTTGCCAGTTATTCAATCCGGCCAATTCTGGTGGATATCCACTCCATTAAAGCATGGTTCCACTTCCCAAGGAAGCTCTTCACACTGGGAAACCTCCAGAATAAAGTTTCCTCCTCTCTCAAGCCTGCAAATAATCTTAAAACACTTTCTTGACTAGTTTGCCTACATTCCTAGCTACAGCAACTCAGCAGGAGTTGGTAGATGGAAAAACTATGGAAGGACAACAGGGCACAGCAAAGTTTATTTAAAAGGACTAGGAAGAGACTTTTTCTCAACGTACATTTTTTGAAATGCTTTTTTTTCCCCAGGAGCCTTCTGCGTGTGAAGAGTTTCACTGGGATAAAAACAGGACTTGGAGTTTTTGATGAACGTGATCCTCAAAGAGAGAGATCTTCAAAAGAAAAAACCCACTATCCACTTCCAGGTACCATTTTCTCCTCATGAATTCACCCTCTGGGAATTTGATTTATTCCCTAAATCTAACAAAAAACTGTTAGGCTTTTAAAACTTTRAGCAGGATGTTAACGTATGTTCACTGGTACTGGGTTTACAGAAGTTAAACATTGATCTTCTGAGTTGAGATTTGGCAAACAATGGTTTGCATTGGTTTTAAAAGTATGAACCATCAAATTTGCCAACTGCAAATTTGCTCAACTACGGGCTGACAGCACATAGGAGACAAGTGGGTCATAGTGGGTTTAAATAAAAAAAAAAAAAAAAGGAGCACCTTTATAGTAAAAAGCTAAAAGGTAACTGAAATTACAGTAGAAATTGATTGTAAAAAGTTAATTTCCAGCCAGGTTCGGTTAGCTCCTCTTGAAGTTCTCCAAAGCAAGAAAAAGCTACAGAGGTAAAAGCTAAGCAACATTAGCTGGAAGGCAGCAATTGCTCAACAGGAGAGACGAATCGCAGTGTCTTGCAGTGAACTACCTTGCTACTTACATAGACACCCGCTCCTAATGTCGATAAGCCCACAATAAGGACTAAAACAGAACTATCTCCTTTGCCCCCAGGCACACCAGAGCTAGCCATTTGTCTGCTCATCTGTAGCTTTTTGGGGACATTCCAGCGCTGCAACAATGTGCCTAAGGAATACAATTTATTAGAGAAAACAAAACAAAACAGAGAGCTGTAAATACAAAGTCATGTTTTCAAAAGGCAGAGATCAAGTCATTTCTAAGGCAAAAGGCAAATAAGCTCCTTCTCTGAAAAGCCCAATACCACATCTGAGTAACTGCAGGGAATTACCCTCTGCCAAACCAAATGGCTCGAGGCCACGGACTTGTGCCATGCAGTTGTGGATAGCAAAAAATACAGGCACGGTCAAAAAGTAATTAAATAAATTAGCAGTGGGGAGTGCCTAGCAAAGSCTTGCAGGGATTAGCCACGGCTCCGCTGCCAGGCCGGGAGGCTGCGGCTCTCCCTGCGCCGCGGATCCTGCGGACAGCCCATCCGAGCAGCATTCCTGCCAGGCGTTTGCTGTGCTTATAACCCCCGAGCCTCCCCAGCAGCAGCAGCCACGGGTGCACTTTGCCCCGAAGGTGACGGAACCACCACCGGGTACCGAGCGGGTTCGGGGCCACCCGCAAAACGTCCTTGTGCCGACAGGGCTGGTCCCAAGCGCGCAGCGGGCTGGGATAGAGGCT